AAGTCGATTTTAGACCCCATTTTAGGCCATTTTCAGTCCCATAACTTGCACACACAGTAAATGTGCGAATTACACACACTTAAGCTCAAACAACTTCAATTCTTGGAGAATCAAAGATCAAGTGATGAATTCTTGATGAATATGTGAAGATTATTGAAGGTATACTCCTAATACTAAGTTTAACCTTTGCAATTAGTGTCAATCAAGGAAATTAGGGTTTGCATGTTTATAATTAGTGGATATTTTGTAAGATTATGGTTTTATGTTGGTGAATATCATGTTATTTTGAATGATTACACAACAATTTGAAGGTAATCTCATTCTTGTTCTTGTTCTTGAAGTTGTAACAAGTATGATGACATTTGGGTGATATAAGCTTAATGCATGTGTAAGATAAGTGTAGAAATTGTGATATTATGCTCAGATTATGAATATACATTAGTTAATTCATTGATTATATGGTTGATATGCAAGAAGATGGTAAGAAATAAGTGAGTTTTCACTATGAATAAGTTGACTATTTGTTATACAAAAGATGAATTTTGATGAAATTGGTAGAAATGGATGAATGAACCATGGTTTCTTGTTGATTTTACCTTGATGATGATAAAATGAAGTTAACATCTGAGTTTGGTTAGGATAGGAATGGAATTGGATACTTATTTGGATAAAAGTATGATTTTTCGAGTTTGAAAGTCATGTTACAGCACTGTTTTGTAAAAATCGTAGAAAATCGTAGAAAAATCAGAAAAATATGAGGTCATCGGCTTTGGAAAGATATACATCTCTAATTTAATCCATCTGTTGAAGTCAAAGTGTGATTTTGAGTTTAAGTGAGGTAAAACAGAGATTAAAAACAGAGCTGCATCATATAATTAAAGTTAGCTTATGACATGATTAAGTTGATAAAATGTGTTTGGTTGTACCAATGCTTACGAAATTTGATATATGAACTCCAGGGGATAATTTAAGCTTGTCTGAGTCMTTTGGAGGGTATCTTATAGTTGGATTGCAAGGTTGGACATTTGTCGTTCGGTTTGACCGTATTTGACATTCGGTCGTGAGGTGAGTTAAATAGCTATTCAAATATTATTGTATTAATTGTATATTTATGTGCCATCTATATGTATGTGATTTCTATGACTTTAGAGTCGGTTTTTTATTGGTCTTTTGTCTTTGTACGTATTGATCTCTCGATTACGAATTCTTCCGAAATGTCGGTCGGTTTGGATATCCATATATTCCATCGGTATTGTTTCTTTGATTTCTTGTGAAACCGGAAGTACGGGGATTACTTTGTGTGATCYGTCCCGAAAACGGTGAATGTCAACATGCCGGTGAAGGGGAAGGAACCGGTGAGACATTCTAGTCGTTCTCGTTGTCTGTTGGCCGTACTCGGTGCCTAATGTGAAGAGAGGCACGAGTATAGGGACTCGGGCATACCCGGGAGATGAAGGCGGGCTCCCTGCCAGTCCTAAGCATTGTATTCCATGAACCATAGGAGCTCGAGCATACCCAGTGACGATGGGCTCCCTGCTAGTCCTATGTGTCCCATTGTTTGGTTATTCCGATATGTTTCTTTAGACCGTTTGACTAACGTATGATATTAGTCCCTTGCAAAGGAATTGACTTGGTATCATTTGATAATTACTTGTAATTTGCATTTCGTAATAAGCATGTTATGTCATGTGAATTGTTGGATYCCRGCACTTGRTCTTTGGTTATATTATGGACAACCCTTATTTCGTAAGTGTTACTCTCAATTTATTATTCATTGATGTAACCATTCAATTGGTTGGTTTATGGTTCCCGTGTAATTGTATAGACTTGATTTCAATAGCATTTGTTTAGACTATTTATCTCACTAARCCATGTGCTTATTCCGTTAGCTCACTATTTTTTTCAGGAAAAAAAGAAGATAAAGGCAAGAACCCGGTGTAGTTAGTTCGTGATTAGTTTGGGGATCGTTGCCAAACCTTGGTATATATATATAATTATGTCTAGTTTCTATTTTGGGTTGTAAATATCCGGGTAGTTATTATGTTGTCCCGATTTTTGGGTGGTAAATGTTTTAATTATAAGATTGTAAGCTTTCGTTTTGGATTTGGAAATACTTATTAAAGTATAATTAGCTTTTGGTGGTTTACTTATAAAATGATATCTCGTATGTTATGTTTTGGTGAAATCGTAACCGAGGTGTTACAGTAATCACCGGCTCGGCCCGACCCGATGTATGTGCGTGTGTGTGTGTATATAAATATATATATATATATATATATATATATATAAATACTAACATTTACATTGAAAGACTTTTATCCACTTTACCTCAACAACCCAAATAAGTCTCACGAAAAAAGTCTAGCTTGTTTGTCTAGTCATGATGTTAGTCGGATGATATTTGAAATTCTATTTACTTTTATATTGTAATATAAGACATTGTTCATGACTGTTTTGATCATGTTTGAGATTTTAGATTTGCATGTTTAAAAAAATATAATTTACTTTTAGTTGTGAAAGTTAGAATATTATAATTTTTTGGGTCGGTTTTGGTTTTGGGTTCCGAACCAACGATGAACGGGGATACCAACAAGGAAAGATGATTCTTACCCTTAGCGGGTTCCCCAACAGGTACCGGGGGAACCGCAGGGGTATGATGTGGATCCACGATAAAATCCCCGACGATGGGCATGGGAATGAGACCTGTCCAATTGAGGAACCCGGTGTACCCATCCCGACGGGATGAGAATTTCCCACAAAACGGGGGATCAGGGATGAGACAAGGATCCACGAAAGTTAAAAATCGGGGATGGGGACCGGTAACGTGGTTCCGTCCCGTCCCCGAAGGCCGGACCAGCCTACAAAAACGAAACGTTCCCTCTGTAACCAGTCATCCAATATCAAACAAATCATATTAAATATATTATTTATAAAAAATTATATTTAATATCTTTTAGATTTAGAAATAGTATTTTGGCATTTATTTTATATATATWTTTTTTAGTTGTCTTACTTTTTAAACAAAAAACCGTTGAAAGTCGAAAGCATTTGATCAAATAATTACGTATGTGATGTAATTTTGTTCATATCTAAATATTTGATGCTCTATAAAAACAAATTTTGAAAATACACGAGTTTTAAACATGGATCATTATCAATCGAATGTGGTTTTTAACACATTTGATTTAAAATGTTTTATATTAACCGGAAAATAAACCTTTGATTCCCCATTGGGGACGGAGATGGGGATGTGATCATATTCCCTAGTGAGGATGGGGATGGGGATGGGTACGGGGATTGGGATTGGGATCGGTGACAGCGACGGGGATCGGGACGGTAACGAAGACGATTTTGGTTATTGGTTTCAGGGACAGGTATATCAATAATCGGCCGGAACCCTGTCTATTGCCATTCCTACTTCTAATAAATACAATATATAGTAAACTACAAATTTAGTCCCTGTGGGTTGTCAAAAATAATATTTTCCGTCCCTATATTTCGAAATTACAAGATGATCATCGTGGTTTGTAAAGCGTCCGAATTTGGTTCCTCCCCCTAATGGTTGTTGAAATTTTTTGGTTAAATAAGACTCATTTTCATTTTTTTATCGATCTTTTTGTCTTTAACCCGATCAAAAACCACAAGGGTCAAAACTATAAAATCGATTTTGATTTGATAAAAGACAAATAAATCAATTAAAAAAAAAGATAAAAAAAAGTGTCCCTCCTTTCACCGAATTTTTTAACAATCCTTAAAGGAAGAGACCAAATCTGAATGTTTTCATAAACAATAATGACCGTCTTGTAATTTTAAAACTATAGATATTAAAAGTGTCGTTTTCAAATTTATAGTTTACTCTACTTATACTCATTTAAGCAAATATATTGTTTCTAATTTGAAATACCAGAAGATATTCGTATAATGCAGCGAGATATATCTTGATTTTAATATTTTTTTTGTCTCGGTCGATATTATAATACGTTTTATGTGGTTTTGAGAAAACGTAATGTTTTTTTTTAATAAAATATAAATATGAAAAAATCATAAAAAAATTGAAAAATATGTTGATATTAATACCAGATTAATTATTTACTTAATGTTTTTGTGTATTTCTTTACTTCATTTTTTTATTATTTTTGGTTCAATAATATAATTTTTTTTATAAAGATAATAATTAAGGGGGTGTTTGAGATTGCTTATTTTATTTGCTTATTGACTTATTTCAGTTTGACACTAGTGATAAGCTAATATCTAGTGTTTGGATAAGAAAAAAAACTGCTTATACCGGTGCCAAACCGGTAATAAGCAGTTTTTGATAAGTTAATCTGTCCTGACTTATGAAAAACTGCTTATTATCAGTTTACCATTTTAACCCTATTACCCTTTATACCTATCTCTTTTCCTCCAGATAACATCGATCTCAATCTTCTCCCTTCTCCAGATGACATCAATCTTCTCCCTGTCTTTTTTGGTCATTTTACAGATATAAGCAAAATTTGTCAAACACTAAAAAACAATTTATCAACTTATTGCAGTTTGGTACCGCTAAGCTAATCCAAACACTTTTTACAAAACTCCGGTTTGATACCACATAAGTTAATAAACACTTTTACAAAAAAAGCATAAGTTATTTTAAATAAGCAATCCCAAACACCCCCTAAGTATTTTGTTAGAAGTCAATGACTATCCTAATTATATTTTAGATTTTTTATATTTAAAATGAGATGTTTATCCTTTATTTGATTATGTTTATCYTTTATTTGATTATGTTTATCTGCAGTTAGTTACACGAATTCAAACATTAAACTTTAATAAGTTGTACTTGCACACAATTTAGTTATAATCTTGAATTTTAAATAATATGCATCAATAAAAAGTATTTCATGCATAAAAATTGGTTTTCAAGAGTTTTTGTCAAATGTTTTATAATATAKTATAGATATTCAACTCATTTTTTATTTTTATTCAATTGTAATCTTTACAAACTATCGATATTTATTGTCGGCACCTGTTAACTTTTCAACAATTTTGGTGCCCGTTCTAATCACAATGATTATATTTTCTTCAACTTTTCCGTCCCTCAAACTAACAATCGTTAAAAAGATGACATTAAGTGGGTGCGTTTGGGATTTGCAAGTTATGGGCTAAAATGCCTTAAAGTTAACATAAAAGTTGGGTTTTGTTAGTTGTTCGATATTTAAATGCTAAAAAAACAGAGCACAACAGAAAATTAACTCAATGACCGTCTTTTTCTTTCTTTATCTCATGCATCACCTAACGACAAGTCGATAACTATGCGTTTGTTATCTCACAAACTCCATCACAATTTCTTGTTCTTTTGTTTACGAGATACAACAACATTGACTTGTCATATGCATTTCCGTTAGGTACCTCGTTTGCATTGGGATATGATAAACCACGAAGAGCATGTCATGTTCCGTTACTTACGTTCATTATGTTTCTTTGTGCCTACTTATGAATATATAGTGTTGCTTACTTTTCTTCGGCTCTAGTTCTTTTCCCCGTTTCGTCTTCTTTTCACTTTTCGTTTCTTTTCGTTCAACAATATAGTGCTGCATACCCTTTTTGCATATGGGTGTTTCGTGAAAATAACCGTTTTATTCTTTGGGGTAGAATAAACATTTGCATACATCTCATTATCTCATATTCGAATGGGATATAAYAGCCTGGATCACTAAGCTAAGACCCCTAAATGACTGCTCAGTGACAAAGGAGGTATACTGAGCCCAATTGGTTTGGCTGTCTGTCTATCAGGTCCCTTTTGATCTTATCACCACACGTCATCAATGAAAGTGGGTTATTTTATGGTGTAATTTTTTCATGTTATTCTAACTATTTCGATTATACTTATAATTTTCATTTTGAATTTCTTTGTGAGACCATTTTCTTGACCTCGTCCCATAGGAAATGTTTGTGTATATCTCCTCTCTCACCAGACCCGGCCTTTTTTTTCCTCTTTTAGACATTATTTTACCGTAAGAATAAGCCTATGAATTGTTTTCACAAAATTATAATAGATTTATGGTTCAATTATTGCGTTGGAAATACAAGTTACTATACGGGTTCAATCCTTACACACTGTGAACGTTTGAGATCTTCGTGTTTTCTTTTCTAATTTGGTCTACAATTTCTTCAATTTATCAGTGGCTACTTTCATCGGAGGACATTAAACTTTCTAGATTACACATATAAGAACTTTGAGATTAAAATGTTCAAACAAAATAGTTCAAGTTACAAAGTTTAATATCCAATACATAATTTTTTTTCAGAAACTAATAAATAATTAAATAACTCAGTATCATGATACTACAATAATTAATAGTACACGATTTTCAATATTGTATACCAACTAAATTTGCATACTTGATATGATACTACCAACCAACCGATGTAATTATAAAAAATATTTATAGACATGTATTTTGCATATATTTTTCAATATTTGATTAAAAATTAAAAAAAAAATGTAATATTTTAGTTTTATGTTGAAAAATACGTTGGTAATTAATTAATTAACATAACTATAAATAAAATAAAACCATAATCACATTAATTTTAATATAAAAAATGATAATAAATCACTACCAAAACCAACGTGGAGTATTTGTCCATTAGCAGCTTAACTTCTTCTATATGTCTCAACTCTAAACCATGCCGGCCAAATGCTGCTCTCTCATTACCAGCTTCCCTTCTTACAGTCCATCGTTTATATATATATATATATATATATATATACTCTCCATTTGGCCTGCAAACCCTTGAAATTTCACTGCAATTACTCCCTCTCTCTCTCTCATCTTTCTCTCTCTAGATTTCTCAAATACAGAAGCAGAATGAGAGCAGGTTTTGAGGTGGTTCAAGGTGCTCTTGAGTTGATCCAACCCCATGAACAATGGGATTACAACAATACCCTTGGTGCTAATTATACGAGCACAACAACGTCTACGTCTCTGATTAACGGTTTTGCTGATTACAGTTCAAAGCCGTCTGCAAACTTAGAGAGGCCGGGCGAGCTATCCGAATGGGTCGAACACGTCACCAAGACGCTCATCGAAGACCTACCTGAATCCAACCCTGAAGAAAGCTTCCAAACGGATGTCACCTTGCCAGCTTACCACGCAATTTCACGTAATATGCAGTGTGAAACAAGACCGCGGAAGCTGGCAAGGGTGAACGGGCCCTCTRACGAGGGCCAATTTGGCGATCAGGGTAATAAAGGGTTGAGTTTGATATCGGTTTTGTTTGAATGCGCGGTTGCTATTTCGGTTGATAATTTGGGTGAGGCTCATAGGATGGTTCTTGAGTTAACCCAAATGGCTTCTCCTTATTCACCTTCTTGTGGTGAGAGGGTTGTGGCTTACTTTGCCAAAGCCATGGCTAGTAGGGTTGTGAACTCATGGCTAGGGTTTTGTTCCCCTTTGACTAACCACAAACTCATTCATGGTGCTTTCCAAGTTTTCAACAATATCTCACCTTTCGTCAAGTTTGCTCATTTCACTTCTAACCAAGCCATTCTCGAGGCTTTTCAGCATCAAGACAGGGTCCACATCGTGGACCTCGACATAATGCAGGGGTTACAGTGGCCCGCGTTGTTTCACATACTCGCCACACGATTGGAAGGTCCACCGCATGTCAGGATGACTGGCATGGGTACTTCCATGGATCTCCTGGTGGAGACGGGAAAACAACTCTCGAATTTCGCAAAACGCCTCGGGATGTCGTTCGAGTTCCATCCCGTGGCGAAGAAATTCGGAGACGTAGCTGATATCTCCACGTTGCAAATTCGGAGAGGGGATGCACTCGCGATACACTGGCTTCAACATTCGCTTTACGACGCCACCGGGACCGATTGGAAAACGATGAGACTCTTCCAAGAACTTAACCCTCGGATCATAACCCTAGTCGAACAAGACATAGCCCACGRAGGCTCGTTCTTGGACCGGTTCGTTGGTTCTCTCCATTATTACTCTGCAATCTTCGACTCTCTTGGTGCGCTCCATCCAAGTGACGACAACAACCGCCACCGGGTCGAGCATGCGTTGATCCATCGRGAGATCAACAACGTGTTGGCGGTCGGTGGACCGGGAAGGAGCGGGGAGGATAAATTTAAGGTTTGGAGAAGTGAACTCGAAAGAAAYGGGTTTTTGCAAGTGCCAATGAGTTCTAGCTCATTGGCACAAGCTCAGTTAATACTTAATATGTTTCCACCAACGCATGGTTAYAGTCTCGTCCAAGTTGATGGGACGCTTCGATTAGGATGGAAAGAGACTGCTTTGTACACCGGTTCGGCTTGGACTTGTCAACGGTCTTCTAGATAACTAGTTTAATCATGTCGAATATCAATCATGATTTGACGTTTTATTCTACATGTAATCTATTAAAAGATTATTTAATTGTATTTTTTTAACGTATGAAGCGTCTTAAATTAACGAGTTACATCTATGTGGTTGCATTTTTTTTAATGAGTTTGGTCCATGAGATACTGCTGAGGAGTATTTAAATCTATAACGTTGCACGCAAATAATACGTTTGCTTCCATTCGAAAGAACCCAAAAAAAAGTCATGTTTGACAGTTAAATAATTATTCTTGAAGAATAATCATAAAACATGTGTTAAAACGTAATTATGATAATTACAAGATATTATCTGTAAGTATGTATAATTATATTAAAGTTTAAGATAATTATATAATTATTACTGATAATCACTAAACCTTATTTGAGTTTTGTTTTGTCTGAGGTATATAAATAAGGTGATAGGTCAAACCAGTTTGGTGATTCAATACTCTGAATTTGGTTATCAGTCTAAACACACATAYTTAGAATTAAGGTTCTTTAGCATCCGTTGCAGGATATGCGTATGTTCGTGTGTGGATCAACTGTAGAGGAAACCCCGCTCGGTTTCTAAATGTTGCATCAGATTTCTCGTTAGATTCAAAAGGTACATCCCTAAACACCCTATGATGTGTTATAATTTAACTAAATGTCTCATCGGAACTCGACTATCGGTTTTATGTTTTCRAAAAACTTTCTAATCGTAACCAAAATATTTGATTTTTCCGCTGCTTTTAAAGTTACRGTTTACATTAAAACCCAACAAAATCAAATACTATTTCTTAGAAAACTAAGAAAATAAATATTTAATTTCGATTATTAATTAGCTTTTTAATATGACATGATAAAAGTTAGATTAGACTACCAACTCCAACTCTTTATATATATTCTTTTAAATGACCTGAAAATCATATTTAAAGATGACAAATTCATTTATTTATTTATATACTCTTGAAAGTAAACTACAAATCTGGTTGGTTTGATGAGACTAGAAAGGTATTCGCGTAATACAGCGAAATAAATCTCAATTTTAATGTTTAGTTTTTATTATTTGTTTTTATCGATATAATATGATTTTATGTGGTTTTGAGAAAGCGGTAATGTTTTTATTTTTGAATGAAATATAAATTTGAAAATAAAATAAATCTATATTAATATCAAATTAATTATTTAATAGTTGTCGGTGTAACTTCTTTAATTAATTTTTTATTATAATTTAATTTAGATTTAATAACAAAATAATTTATTTTTAGTTTAATAATATAAT